GACAGCCGCAATTCAACACTTGCAGTAGCCACCGACCGTGTGACCGGCGGATGTAACGCAATGCCTTACACAAGCTTAGGCGTCAGCAGAAACTTAGAAAAGCAGCGTCAATGGCAGTAGCGGCGATAGTAATAGTAGGTTATAAATAAGAGAAATGTAATTTTAATAAAACAGTTTAAGAACGGAACTCAACTGTGTTTTTTTTAAAATAACATAATTCCGTGGTAGTCGACAACACGTCGCTATCGCATAATCGGAATATTATTTAAATAGTTAGTGGGTAGTCGACAACAATAATAATAATAATAAAATAAATAACTATTATTTAAATATGTCGTGGCAGTCGACAACACCGTCGCTATCAATAAAGGAACAGTAAAACTGATAATAAAATATAACTACATGTCTCTTTTAAATAATCGATAGCAAAGCAAAGCTGGTTTTTGCTTTTCGCGAGCGACAACATTAATGTCAAGAGAAAAATAAATGTCGCTTTTCTCTTTTTACTATCAAAAATATCAGCATCACCGGCATACTTCAGGTCTCCTAGTTTACATTAAAAATTAAGATTTATGCCAGTTTTATGCACTTCTACAACATCCATATTGATATCCATAGCCGCATTGAATAAAAACGGTGACAAGATTTTCCCTGTCTCACTCCACTACATGTAAAAAGAACTCGCTGAGCATACCCTCGTAAAAGTCTTTGCAGATTGCATTTTCATCTCACCTCTCAATTCAAAGCTTTCTTATATCTTGTTTCTTAACGGCACCCAAAACTTTTCATAGTCCATAAAGCAGATATATTGTGATAATTTTATCCAATAGAATGTTCCGAAATCAGTCTAAGCACATTGACATAGTAAAGAGGTAATTATTATTTGAATAAAGTTGTACCCAAGATATTGGGAGCACACACTATTTATCTAAAATTAACACTTGCTTTATTTCGAGAAACGCTCCAAATACTTTTTAATCAAAATGCCCGCATATGGGGCGTAAGCAATTTATTTCACTTCTATACAATATTGTATATTTAATGTTGTATACACAATGAATAAAAGCACAATTAGTTGAAATTGAAAATGCGTCAAAAAAGTAGCGCCCAGGTTCGTATAGCGAAAACCAATATATAGGATCGCTGTAGCAGCTTCCAAAAATCGAATGTCCGTTTTGCGATGATCCCGTCTTTTTCTTAGGTGTCTTCGTGCATTTTGTTCTCAGAGGCAGAGTGCGGTGGTGTCGTTGTGTGGGGTGAAATTCCTTGAGGTGTTCACAGGTGTGTAAATATTAGAATTTTGATTTATACTTGTGCCTTTGCTTACTTAGTTTATGCAATCCTGCTTATTTTTTTTTTTTTTAAACATAAGGGGTATAGCGGGAGAAATGTGCAAGTATAGGTATACTTGAATTTGTTTTTTGTGTTTGTTAATTGGTGTGTTTGAATACACAAAGGTAAGCTTGTAGTTAGGCAACAAAGTAATATTAAATTTTTTTTGTTTTAATATATAAGTATGTTTTTTGAAATATATGTTATACCAGCCTGTGTTCGGTTTTTCCCGCAAAAAAAAACTCGAAACTGAGACAATTTGGTAACCGTTTTTTTTGGTAAACGTATTTATTATTACAGGTTCTATATATATAAAACTGTAATTTTTACATACATATATGCACGATAAAATAAAATAATAGGAAACGATACGACTCACATTTTGCTCCCTCAAGGGTTTTTTGAGGGGATAATATATATGTATGTACGTGTGTGTTGTCCTTTGTTGTCAATTCCTTTTTCTCCGCTTCCAGTTGTGCTTGGTTTTAGTGAGTGTTGTTTTTGTTTATTATCGTTTGTTTTAAATTCGCGCCCGTATATGTTGTTTTTATTTATGTTGTTGTATTTAGGTGCTTTTTTTCTTTTTTGTCACCAAATTTTGTGTCTTGGACGTAAATTATAGTATAGTGCCTTTCGTTTAGGCTCGAAGGACCATGAATAAAGTTGTACCCAAGATATTGGGCAGCACACACTATTTATCTAAAATTAACACTTGCTTTATTTCAGAGAAACGCTCTCAAATACTTTTTAATCAAAATGCCCGCATATGGGGCGTAAGCAATTTATTTCACTTCTATACAATATGTTGTATATTTAATGTTGTATACACAATGAATAAAAGCACAAATTAGTTTATATAACGAATTAAAAATGCGTCAAAAAAAGTAGCGCCCAGGTTCGTATAGCGAAAACCAATATATAGGATCGCTGTAGCAGCTTTCCAAAAATCGAATGTCCGTTTTGCGATGATCCCTTTTTTCTTAGGTGTCTTCGTGCATATTGTTCTCAGAGGCAGAGTGCGGTGGTGTCGTTGTGTGGGGTGAAATTCCTTGAGGGTTAACAGGTGTGGTGTGTTTCATTAGGGTGTGTCAGTTTCTCCCGAGTAGAGTGGTGCACTTGTAGGAGGGAGTTTAAACTCATTTAAACAGTCTAGGACGGAATCGAATCAGAAATTATATTCAACACAATATTTGCGAAAATCTTATTCATCACCGGTAGTAAAGAAAAACGTGGCCAATTGTCAAATTGTTAGTTTTGAAAATACCGAAAACAGCCTGGAATTATTTCGGAAAAAATTATTGAGTCAGTTACTCCGGAATTTGTTTCTCGTCCGAAATACGCATGAATAGCGGATGTAGCTTTTCCGAAACTACATCAACCGACGGCTTTTCCAGCCCTAGTATTCATGACATTACAATATCTAAAATAATAACACCGACGTGTAGTTAAAGAGTAGAAATAGTTACTTTTTTCTCCGAGGCTAAACCATAGGCAACCTATCCTCTAACAAATGCATTATGGCTGATTGACATAGAAATTTTGCTTCGCTTTGCGTCAGACATTTGTTTTGATAGAAAAGTTCGATGCTTTTGTATGAATCCGTTCTCATCGAAGCGAAACGCAGCAAGGCAAAGCAAAATCTTAGGCAACTCTCATCTTTATATGCTTTGCCAAACAACAGTTGCCATTTTAATTAGGGAGAAACACTGAAAACAAATCGTTCATTCTAATATATGTATGTGGGGTAATATATGAATGGGCCATGAACTACCGCCTTACAAGCCAATTATCGAATAAATCCCCAGCGCTTAAGGGCGGTACCACAGTTCTTTAAGTTTTTAAGAGTTTCTTAAGGCCTGGAAAGGCAGATCGAATGCATTTTCTTAAAACGGGGATACAGCTTAGTTAATGCGACCAGTAGATTGTTTTATTTCTACTTAGCGTTGATTGAACCAGCCCAATATGGTCGTTTTCAGCCTGTTTCAATTAATTAGATTACATGGGTAAACAAATTTTTTTTTTGTTTTGCGCATTGGTTTTACTAAATATATTCTGGTTATATAAGAAAATATATATGGGATGATTACAAATCGAAAATATTTGCTTTTTAAGCAATTATGGCGATTTGACCATTTTTGATTTTCGCGCCGTACAATGTCGGTCTTCGCGCGCTGTTGCTGTCAAAAACACGGAAAGAGCACGAGAGATAGTGTTGCTTGCATCGCCCGTTGTGTACGACAGTATGTGTTAGCACAATGCAGTAATCCGTCATAATTTTGCTTCCTGTAACAATCAGTACAAAATGTCTTCTAAAAGTTGATTCAAGTAAAATTTTAAAGATTTGCGAATCATATCAAACTTACTTCAATCTACCTGTTAAAAATCAGGACAAAAAATAGGCTCCACATGTGTCATGTAACTTTTGTAGATATATTTTGAAAGGTTAGTTTATTTCCTCTCTTTTTTATAATAACTAATAGCTATTTTGACAACATTAATTAAGTTAAAATATGTCAAGTTTTTTTTTAAGGCTGGTACCGATGTGAAAAAAAGCAATGAAAAATAAATGGTGGAATCTTTGTAGGTCCTTACCTAAAATAAATTATGGATGGTGATATTTTCCCGAAATTACTTAGCAATGAGGTGAAGAAAGCTCCGAACAGTTTTATGGCAGATGTGCATTGAAATTATAGGGCTATTTACCTATCATCAGATGTATAATGCCTCTAAGGATGCACATGTTACATTCTCATTTACATAAATTTAAAGATATTACCAGACTTATTCGGAAGAACAAGGAGAAAGCTTCTATTAAGATAAAATTAAATTTAAAAGACCTTACCAAAACCAGTATATTGAAAGCATTGTGGTAACAATACAATTATACAAATACGATGGTATTTTGTTTACCACGTTAAATGACACGTATAGTAATAGTAAACTCACATGTTCTTAAAAACATGGTTATATTTGTAAACTCCTCGCAATTTTTCCAATTTTAACCTTCCATTTAATTTATTAATTTTGTATTGTCATTTTGACAGAATATTGTGAAGAGCTTTGTGCAAAAGTTTTTATCTAAGTTCGTTACCTTTTTTAGTTGTGTTTCCACGATGAAATATTATGATATTGTTACTACATGTTTGTCACAGGTATAAGAGAAACTTCTACGGAACATGACAGGAAAGGTAAAACTGTTAATTTTTAAACATTTAAAGTATTTTTTCAAATGAATATTGTAAAAAAGTAAAGTAAAATTTTTAATTTTTAACATTTGGAGTCAATTTTAAAATGTCTACTGTAAAAATTAATTCTAAATGGTGGATCAGTATCTTTTAATAAATTATAGATCAGTAAAATTTTTGTGTATTTCATCCACAACCCCAAAGGGGCAGCCTCGAGGGAAGACCTACCCATGAGAGGGTAGAGGGACGTTACAAACGGAAGCCGTGAGACCAAAAAAAACATCCCCATTTGCTAAGCTCATACGGGGTCATAGATGTCGGATACTGATCTCAGTACCTGCAAGACGTAGGTTAGCTGCAAATAAAAAACAAGCAGCTCCCGACCAAGAGCACAGCACAGGAGACAAATAAAGCAACGAAGTAGGACAGCGATTTTGACAAATGATTTGGAAACATTGAACGTGGGCTGAAGGATGTGGCACTCTGTTACCTCAGTACGCAAAAGTGACATCTTGCAGAAATGGCGTTCAGGGTAATGTAACAGGCGCCTCCGTCTCGTTAAAACCATGGCAGGTCTTCGTATGAAAACAAAGGAGATAAATACCAGAAAGCACAAGCGGACGAATTGAATGCCTTCAGAAGGCAAAGCAAGATCATGCGCTGATGCAGAAGAGGACGAGGCGCTTCTGAAGTGTCGCGCCACCCTCAAAAAGATGAATATGGCAATGTTAAGCCAGAAAAACACAAGCACTGAGGTGAAAATGGGGTATCCGAGCTAGACCAGCTCTTTGACATTATAGCTACCCTGCGGCGGAACTGGATAAAGGGGTTATATACAGTTAGAAGGCCGAAAAAGGGAATTTTCCAGAAGTTTTTCTTTCAACTATATTTTAAGACTTAGTAATAGTAAAAATATTTATTTAGGAAAGAGCTACAGCTGATCTCCGTAAGCTCCTTTCAAAAAAGACGTTTTGCGGTGACCACTATGTCTCAGAACTGGATCATCTGAAATTAAAAGACCAAACAGATTAAGACGAAAAGTAATGCTAGTAATTACTAGTCGAATCGAAGTAATAAGCAAAATGCAGTCCTTTGACAAAATGGCGAATCGATTTTTCACCGATTGTTGACCTTAAATTGCTTATAAAAACAAAAATATTTAACGGAGAAAAAAAATTTCCTTTTAATTAATAAAAGTTATATTTAAGAAGCTCGTAAATTTGAGAATAGTCGGTTAAGCCGTTTTCGTGTAATGTTGATCACCGACTTTGAAAACACCATTCTGAGAAAAACGCGTTTAAAGTTTAGAATGCACTTTACATGGGATAAAAAAAATTTTTTTCAACTTACATGGAGTCGTCTATTCCAGGCCCTTATAAGAGCCCCTTCGCCGATTCGGCAGTTTCTAATAACTCGAGCTGATGTTTTCTGCGAGCGGGTGCTTTCCCGCGCTCTGCGATCGGAAATGTTCACGCGCTGCTCATCTTCTTTTTCGGCATATGAATGCGCATTAGGCCCAAATGCAATTCCTATTGCCTTCATTTAATTAAATAGTGATGCCATTTCTTCATTAAATATGCCGGCAGCTACGTATGCAGCGATTTCCACAGTTTTCGAACCGGCCGGAACAATTTTGGGAGAGATTTTCCAAATCAGTTGATTGCAGCTCTCGTTGTTGTTTTGGTTAAAACCACCTACACATCTTTCTAATAGATTCTCATTGCTGATATATGTAATAATCGGATGTATGGCCTCAGCAGCATCTTCTGATAATGGTTCATAATCATGTTCGAAAGTGGATAACTGATTGGCAGCTGCAGCCCTCTGCCAGCTGCACTATGAGTCTGGTCCATCCGGGCACTTGTCGTGTTGAGGTTTGGTGAACAATAATGGCAATATGTGGACTAGATAGTATTATACATTTTTTAATGTTTATTATTTTTTCCTTTTTTGTTTTCAACTGTTTCAACGTTTTTTTTTTTGACATAATCTTTTAGTCGCGTGCCCATTCGTTTCTGTACGTGTTCAATACATTGTTTCCTTACAACTTCTTGATCACCTTACGGTGCAGCCTTTAAAATTCCCGAGTACGTTTTGAAATCACCGTCTCCGATGCAATTTTTGTACATGACTCCAAGATTTTCCAATGAACGTTGGAACATTTCGACGACTACATCAACTTTCATTTTCCCAGAAAAACCAGCATGATTTGCAGTTCAAGTATTTTAATGTTCTGTATGCCATTCATTATATTCTTCGGTATCGAGTTACTTCTTCCAAGTTTCATACAGTTTGCAGTAGGCACTTTTTACAACACTATCTATGATTTTACCAGAATAGTATCCCATCATTTGCTGCACCTTTTAACCCTAATCCGAGGAGTCTCATGGAAAATAAAAATCGTCGATATATTTCATAAGAGTGCGCGACAAAAGGACTAGAATACGATAATAATGTTACGATCTGCTCACAGCAAAACAATTCTAAAACCAAGTCCTCGTTCGGAAGCAGTTTGAAACTTGACATTTCCGTCACAGACCTTACATTTCACATATTCAGAAATTGTTACCGTTAAAAGTGGTAAAGTTAATCGCCGCAGAAGGCCTGCACTTATTGTTGTTCATGTCTAATGCATGTCTGAACGCGGGCATCTGCCCATAAGTGTGGAATATACAACATTTGACCTCGATAAGAATGGACAAAGTGAACCCAGAAACACCATTAGCATACAGACCTCTGTGTGTGATAGATACAGCAGGAACGATACTATAAAGACTATTGAAACCCTGCATAATAGGCGCTATAAACAATGCTGGAGGTCTATTAGAGCGGCAACATGGCTTCAGACCATGCAGGCCCACTATAGGAGCCGTTGAAGACGTCGTGCGCAGCGTGGAGGAAGCCCACCACTTCTCACGATTCAAAACGCCCCCAGATGAGAAATCACTTCTGGAGCAACGCAGGGATCCATACTTGGACCAGACCTATGAAACATCAGCTACCACGTAATTTTAAACGTCGAAATGCCAGACGACTGTTACTTCGTTTGGTCCGCGGATGACATCGCTGCCGTCATTACAGATCGTAATACCGACATATCCAGACGCAAACACAACAAAAGTCATGCTGCGAACACAGACATGGTTGGAGTCACATGGCCTTAACCTAGCCGTGGAAGAAACCGAGCTGATCCTGCTCACTAGAAAACACATTCCGCTGGAAGTGAACATGAAAGTTCATTCAGAAACCATACAAATGACGAAACCTCTAAAATATTTAGGTATAAGAATAGACAACAAACTGACGTAGTATGCTCAAACTCAGCATGTTGCTAAAAAGTCAGCCAATATAAGAAAGTCGCTTTCAAGACTTGTGGCAAACATTGGAGGTACGCTTGCAAGCAGAAAGAAACTGCTCATGGACACAACACAGTCAGTGTTTTTATATGATAGTGTGGGTCGATACATTAAACGTGAAACATAGATGGAAAGTGCTTGCTAAGGTGCAGCTAGGACAGCAGCCCTGAGAGTCGCCTCGGCTTACCATACTGTATCCGAATCCGCAATGCTAGTGATAAGCGGCGTCATCCCAATAGATCTACTCGCATAGAAGAGAAGACAACTCTGGTTATGGAAAAAAGATGAAACGGAAATACACATGCAAACTCAAACTCTGGCAAGATCGGTGGACAAGGGAGCGCAAAGGAAGATGGACCGCCAAATTGATCAAAGATATAGAAAGAAAACACGGCGATGTGAACTACTACTTAACACAGATGCTCCCCGGCCACGGATATTTCCGAAAATACCTGTACAACATGTGAAAGCCGAGAGCCCAGCATGTATTTACGGATACGAAGCACTTGTTGACGCAAACCATACCTTCTTTAAGTGCCATCGATGAAACGAACTTTCGAGAATACAGTTGGAGAACTAAACACGGAAAATCTAATAATTAAAATGATAACTAGCGGCGAAAACAGCAGCAAATTGCGACATACGTGGAACATGTACTACGCATTAAGAAAGGGGACATGGCCGCGGACCCCCCTCCGACCAATTCCACTCAGATAGTCTGACTGATGCTGGCTACAAACCAGTAGGACACAATGGGTCAATCTTGGAAACCTTGCTCTGAAGTAATGCGAAAGCGGTCCCAGGGCAAAGGAAAAATTCATGGGGGAGTGTTTTAGTGGATACTCCACTTACCTATATGGTGCGAAGGCATTTTAAATCCTCCTTACATCCTACCAAAAAAAAAAAAACTATTGTTCAAAGTAGCGTATTTCTCACTACCTATTGAATGGTCGGCATTCTTACACGTTTGCTTCATACGTACATGCGTATACTTTCCGCGCACGTTTTGCCCGCTGCGTTGCATGGATAGTATGATATCGAGAGAGCGCTGTCCAAGTTTACAAAGTTTATCTTTTATAACTTTTGACAGTGGGGCCACTAAGGAAAGAAATAAGTTTTGAGATTTTTTAATGTATTTCTTGAGTATTTTTCGGTTTCCATTTTACAGAAAAATATACAAAATTAAAGTTAGTTTAACAAGGTAAATATCCTATATGCTGTCTTAATATATGTACATTTTAATCATAAATGATTTTTAAAATTAACTTTTAAAGCTCAATTTAACTAAATATTTTAATAATTCAAAACATTTACAAATTTTCAATAACCTAAACATCAACCTTAATTCTTTTTTATATACTCAACAAACAAATATCTTTTAATAATTTATTCGGAAGTCAAAAATTATAAAACATTTGCGGGGAATTCTAACCAAAATATGTATACTCGTTGCAATTGGTACTGCTAAGCAAAACAATACTCTGCGACCAAATAACCGCTCTTTCTTAAAGACAAAACTATATTAAATCTCTTTAAATAAATATTAGAAACACACCTAAAAGTCACTAAAAAATCTGATCTCACAAATAACCCAATGATTTCGAAATTTATTTCTGCGGGATTCTTGGTGGTAGTACATTGTTTTGCTTGCCATCTGTTCAGTAACGCATGAACTTT